TGTCTTTCTTATGCTGAGGGCTCCAGAACTGGGATGCAGTGTTCCAGGTGGGGTCTCACCAGAGCGGAGTAGAGGGGCAGAATCCCCTCCCTCGACCTGCTGGCCACGCTGCTTTTGATGCAGCCCAGGATACGACTGGCCTTCTGGGCTGAAATAAAATGAAAGAAGTAAGCTGTGAGTTGTATTTACTTCTAAGGCAGAGTGACAAATCTCAGCTCAGCTTGTGGTGAGTCAGATACTTTTAGAAAACAATGTCTAGAGATATAGCTGAAGTTTTACTTGTTACCATAGCTGTCTCACAAACTGTCTAATTCCCTCACATGCTGAAATTGATATTTGTATCTCACTGCAGGAAATGGGATGATTACAAGCTGGGATTTGGGAAATTCCAGGGCAAGAATGATGAATACTGGCTAGGCAACGACCACATCTATGACCTGCTTGCTAGAGGTGCCAGTATTTTCCCTCCACAAATTTCTTTCCAATTTGCATGAGATAGATAGTTCATTTAACAGGACGCTGCTTTGTGTTTAGGAGAGAGCTCATTAAAGATTGACCTGATGGACTGGCATGGGGAAAGACGTTATGCAGTCTATGAAAATTTCCAGCTTGGGAATGAGCAGGTAAGAAATGGAGAGTGATTTGCTTGTTTTATCTGTGAGGGTGGGGCATCTGCATGTGCAGCATCAGACTTCAGTATCAGGGTTGTAATTACAGCTCTGCGAAACTTACCCGCTCTGGTTCCCTGGGATTCCTGGTTTGGCTGACCGACAAACGGCCCTGGGAGCAGGGACATAAGCCTGGGACTTCTTCCTCACAACCGCTGAGTGCCCAAGCCACTGGGTGACAGGATCACGTGTGCTCCCTTGCTAACTCTGCTGCTGCACGGAGGTCAGCTCTCTGCCGCAGGGCACAGGGGTTCCCACGTGTGTTTGCCTCCAGCCTCATGGTTAAAAGAGCCTTCCGTGAGGGAGGAGATAAGGGTTTGAACCTCTGCAAGGAAACTGAACCCTGTTCTCCCACTTCCTAGGAGAGTGTTTTAGGCTGTCACATAAAAGGCAATCACCAGAACAAACCCTTTCTACTTTGTTTTAAAAGAAAACAGTGAACTCTAATCAAAGCTTTGAAAGAGCAGTTCTAAGTTCCTACCTTGAAGAGAGGTACCTGTAGCACTGCACTTAGTGCTACAGGCACAGAAAGCCCAAAGACAGACAGATCCCTGTATTTTCATGTTTGCATCCTAGCTTTAGACAGTGTCCTGCTCAATGCAGGTGCTGTTCTTTGCAGGCTTGCCTTTCTGAACACCGTGCATAAGTAGCACAAATACCCAACGACATGAGTTCCGTTGCATGGACCAGTCCTAGTGCCAACTCCATCACCACTCTAGAAATGTATGCATTACATTGTTTGCAATTAGAGTTTTCTTATGAAAAGTTGGAACAGCTTCATTTTAATACCTTACTGCTATTTTTCATAAATAAAAGTGGAATATAATGACAGGAAAAAGCCCACACCACAAAAGTAATCATCTACCTCACATCAAATGTCTCTTAGATCTGTTAGCTGTGCACAATGGAACTATTCCTCTAAGTATTCCTGCCAGGACAGGACCATTTAGCTAGAAATCAGATGGCTTCTAGTTCTTGGAGGAGCAAAATTCCTAAGGAGTTATTCTTGCTGAACAACTGATCAGTTTATGAAGGCAACTACTTGGCACAGTTTCCTGCCAAGTTGTTCTTGATGAGCTAGGAAGAGCCTTCCAGCTTGTTGTATAGTGTATCAAATGGTTATTGAACGACAATAAAGCCTGAAGCCCTGTGTAGCAGCAGCAGCAATTAGCAATCCCTTCTGGAAGTTTAAATACCATATTGATCTACACTAGGATCATTAAAACATGGGGCCAAAAGTCACCCTTGACTTCAACAGCCGTGCCTTTGACAGTGAATACAATGGCCAGAGCAAATTTGATGTAAAAAATGGGAGGAAGGGCAGAAAGAGCTGATATCATGTTTCACGTTTCACATATTCTTGCAGGACAATTACAGGTTATGGTTTGGCACCTATTCTGGTAACGCGGGCGACGCTCTGTCTGGTGGGAGCAATTTTGAAGATCAGTGGTCAGCCTCTCACAGAGGGATGCAGTTCACCACATCTGACAAGGATCACGATCGATTCCTGGCAGGCAACTGTGCATTAGAGAACAAGGGTGGTTGGTGGTTTAACAGGTATGGAAAACAGCTGATTCCTCTCGGGTACATAGGGTGTGGGTGGCTGTACAGCCGAGAGGCCTTGCCTGCCTTACAGCAGCTGGAGGTTGCTGTGTGCATTTGCCACCCCGTACAGCCAAATCTAAGATGTTCACACCTACAGATCCTCAAAGGAAAGCAATGTGCTTCTTTCATTATGAAGCAAAGCAGGTAAGTTGCATTCATTTTAAGAAACTGGGCCACAGGTAAGTTGCATTCATTTTAAGCAAATGGGTCAGAATAAATGCACAGGGGGAAATGACCTGGAAGGAAAAGAGCCCAATTAAAATTCCTTAAAGTGCTTTGGGTTATATCCCAGGAAAGAAAACAATTGTAGCCACTGCAAGGTGAAGTGTGTACAAAGGACATTTCTCTGTTGTGGAGCATGTCTAGGGGGCGAGCTACCCCTTAAGAGTCCTGATGGTATGTTTGCCAGTTGGGCATACCCTACACATCAATGGAGAGGGACTCAGGTTCACCAGCGCTGGGAGCATGGACACAATGCGCTCAGTTTTTCTCTGCTTTAGTGCAGGATGAGCCTCTTCTTTGACCAGGCCCTCATCCCATACAAATTGAAATCAGTGGAGCTACAAAAATGTACATCAATAGTGGGATTTACCTTGATTAAAAGACATCTGCAATTTAGGTGTCAATACGTAGCTGCCTACACTTGAGCTAGAGCCTACCAAATGGCACTACACCCCTCTGTTTAGGCAACTGAATCATGTCCCTAGTTAATATGCTCGAAGGAGTCAACAGGTTGAATTATCTGACCAGCGTAGGTGTCTATTTCAGGATGACCCACATACTTCCCTGGGTTCCACTGAATGCATTAACCAGATCTCCATAGGCTATAGTAGGACTTGAGATAACCAGTTCAGTACAGACAGATCTATCCAGGTGTCTGAACCTGTCAATGAATCCCGCCCTGGTATTTCTAAATGTATGTTGTGTGAAAATTGTACTTCACTCTAATGATGCAATGTTTTCCCATGCTAAACCTAATCTCCTTTTCTCCCTCTCCTACATCGTTACAAGGTGCCATGCCACAAACCTCAATGGACGATACTACAAAACAGGAAGGTACAATGGATCCCATGACAACGGCATCGTTTGGTCTACGTGGCATGGCATGTGGTACTCACTAAAATACTCAGCCATGAAAATCAGGGCTCCGTTCTTTGTTGACAGCGAGAGTGGAGACGGCGAGAACAGTCAGGGCAGCTGAAACCTGCTGCTTTGGAGAGAAAAGAAGTACACGCTGAAATGAATTGTGTAAGTTAATAGCCAGCCCTCTGCTGCTGCCAGTCGCCAAACCTGCACTGTGATAACTGGAGTTGCACCTGTTTCTACTAGCTGAAGCTAACATCGCGAGTTGATTGAGCACAGCCAGCCAACAATTTAATGGAAAACATATGGATCTCAGTCATGGAATAACCAGTTTTCTTTTTCAGCAGTTTTCAGGACTTCATTGGAGAGTGTTTATGAAAACCTCTCTGGACCTTGAATGATCAAGCATGTCCTTCTACCTATCTGTACTCTTCAAGGGCTAAATCTTTCCCATCTTGATTTTAACCATCAGTGCCTCAGTTACGAGAACGTAAGAATAGAAACAAGAAGGTGATGGGGAATTGGACTTCATGTGGTGTGGTGTGCCTTTGTTAGTGCTTTGTTCTGGATCGGGAGAGTGTTTTTAAGCAACTCTCCCTATGGTCCCCAGTTGCCACACTTCAGCTGCAGAATGCTCCTGGAGTGTGTGAAATCAAACCAGTGGATGGACGTGCTCCAACTGCTAACGGGCATCCAGACTACGGCTACTTCCAAGTAACCCCCCACAACACGGACAGTGCGGACACCGAGTTTCAGTGCCAACAGCTTCCCGCTGCAGATCCACTTCTATAGCACACCACGACACAGTAATGCAGGCAAAGACAATGCTACTGGCCAGACATAAGCCCCAGATTAAAATTAGGCAGATTTTACTAAATTTAAGATGAGCACAGATATTCTTAGGAGTTCATAAAATGCAGTCATGATTCATCTGTACGTTCTCGTGTAATTTACCAGATGACTTTGAGTTAGTGAAGGGGAATCAGAAAGTGGAAAGTGATTGAACCATAAGGCACACTGCTTTCATTGTCTCATCCGAGTGAAATGAAAGAGCAACACAAACGACTGAAAGAAATGGAATACTGAAAATTTATTTTCCACAAGTTGTGAATAACAAGAGTTAAAAACATACAGTAATATCAGCTTGATGCAAATCGTTTAACTACCATGTTGTAGAATGAGCCTATTTTTTTTCTGAATTACAATCATTTTTTAAACTGGTAGCTCTTTTCCATTTATTTGCTTTTAGATCCATACGTATTGTAATTTGTATTTTATATCCATAAAGTGTGAAATAAAACCATCTGAGTAGGACTTAACACTTTGTATCTGGTTTTCAATAGTAGGAACTTGAACAGAAATATGGATGAAAATCTTGAGAAAGCTCATAATACGAGAATTTCATTCTTTTGGTGTTGGCTCTGGTGCTTCTGCACCTGCTGTCCTGGGTCGTTTAGAGCGTCCGCAAGGTAAGTTTAATTTCCACAGCTCAAGCTGTCGTGGAGACAATGCAGAGACATGCGAAGGTTCAGTGTAAAACTTGGTTTGGTTCCTCTGCTTTGTCAAGAGGTAAACCCTGTTCTCCCTTCTTCCTAGACATCCCAGCGATTGCAAACGTGACCACCAGAGCGCAACGGGCCAGCACTCCAGGGAGCCGTGCTCCTGAAGCTGTGCCCTGGCAAGACTGCACCGCTGCCCTCTTCCCAAGTGCTGGCACATACCCACGTGGAATGAAACTTGCACCTACATCTCTGAAATGAGGTTGCCCTTGTGAAGAAAGGAGTGTGAACAACCAGCACTTACTATTTCCTTTCTGATCACTATTCTGTATTTTACAGTGGTAAAATCTTAGTGCAAGGTCGTAACTGCACGTTGGGAACATAAGGAATCACTGTGCACACGTAACTATGTGGCCGCTGATGCAGTGCTGAGGGCAGTAAGGACAACTTTTGTCTAGGCAGAAGACACAGAGAAATGTGAGTGAAATAAGGTGGTGTTAATGCCTTCTGGCAGAGGATGCTCAACCCCATTCTTCAGTATAGGGCTAGGGAAGCAGGGTAAAGATTACAGACTGGTGATACTCAACTCTGCATGCTGGGAATCAACCACAGCACTGAACACACAACACTAGCGGTTTGACAGTTCATTGAGCAGCCGATAACCCATCTGATAATGGAGTAATAAGCTGGAGAGAAAGTCAACAGGGCTTAGTCAGACAACTGCTACCCAGTCCAGTTTCCCAGTGAGTGAGCAGTGAGCGAGCAGTGAGCGATGTAAAAGTCCAGGGTACGGAGCCTGTTTCGCCCTGTGTCAATATGGAGAGACAGGCATTACAGTTGGACTGCCTTCAGCCAGCTTCAATATGTTACAGTGCTTTTTTCTCTCTCCGAGAGAGAAAAAGGGGCCGAGATCTGACAAGCTGGGAGGGAAGGGGTCTGCCTTGCTGTCTTAGATGCAAGATGTACCCAAGTCCATCTAACGCATTACAGTAGCTGTTCTGAATGCAGCCCAACATTGAGACAAGGTTGCAGGCAGTAGCATCTGGCTTAGAGCAAGGCTCCCCCTCCTCTGCCCTCCTGCGGCACAGAGAACCCCCTTGGAGATGCAGGGGTCACACGGCTTTGTGCAGGACCCTGCAACTCCCACAGCAAACCCTAGGAAATGTTTCAGAACCCTCTTTATCTTAATAAACAGGGTAACATGCTGCTAGCTCAGTACTTACTTGACCTGAGGGCTACCGCCAAGCTCAAATCACTCCCACTGAAGGTTAGGGGAATGCTTGCCGAATGTTGCTGTGCTGTACATTTGCTCTCCTGTTTCTCCAGGGTCTCGGGTGCTGAGAGGCTCACCAAAGCTGTAAATAGATATTGTAGCACTGTAGCTCCAATGCTGACAGATCACTGCTTCAGGGCAAATGTGCTTCCCACGGCGGAGTTTACCTTACCACAGGGGTGGTAAGTAACCTGAGCAACAATCGCTTCAGAGGTCTGATTTCCAGCTCATTTAAGTCAATTTAAAGACTCGTTACATTTGATTAGCTTTGGATCACTCTTCAAGTGTGGACATGTTCTCAAATGCTTTAAACAGCATTTCAAGCTGACAGCTTATGGGAATGTGTAGCTGGTACGAACATCACGCTGGGCTGAAGGGCTGAACGCTGACAACACGGCGTGCTGGCGCAGCTCCTCGGAAAGAGGGAGCTCACATCACCCTGCGAGTCGGACCCGGCACTCCAGCAGCAGCTGCAAAATGTTACCCATCAAAAAGGCCATTCAAACGGCGGGGTTTGACTCTGGCGGCCAAATGCTGAGAGTCGTGCTCCTCCTAGGCTGTCACAGCAAGCCCTCCCACTGTGCGCCTGTCAAGTTAACCTGTGCATGCTTTGGACACTTCAGTGGGGTGCCATCAGTAGCTGGCTAACGCACAGTGATGCTGCTCTCCTTGAAAATTGTTGTCGGTTTGGAGGAGGAAAAAAAAAAGTGTGGGATTGGGAAATCTATCTTTCCACTCAGAAAGCCAGTTTTGAGAAGGATAGCAGCCTACTGCCAGAGAACTAAGCACATGCTCATTTTTCCTTCACACCCACAAGGCAGGTTAAAGGGCACGTAGGGTTTGGCTCCTTATGGGAGAGTTGTTTTAAGACTGACAGTCCTCTGCCTGAACCTACCTTCTCCCACTCCATCCTCCACGGGCAGCATCTCCTCTCAACAGCACTCCCCTGGTCTTTGCAAACTCCCTGAAGAGACGGTTATCCTAACAAATGGCAAGCAAAGTCTCTGAGTCCTTCTCACTGGCCCGAGCTCTGTTTCTGTTGTTAACTGGGGTTTCAACCCAGCTCTGAATACTTGCAGCAGCGTGTGATTGCCCGTTTGTGATCTCTGGTTTTAAAGCATGACAAAAAACACAATGTAACTTTGTACTTCACCACGAGATTCTCCGGGAATCGCCAGATGTTGTCAAGCCATTTTACTACTTTTTGTCTGCAAAACAGGTATTCACCAAATAAATGTGGTGTTCGTTGTTTTTGTTCATAATTTATTTTGCACTTGCTGTAGTAGAATTATTGTCAATTTATTTACACAAAAAAAAGAAAATGTTTAATAAAGGCAAAGATGTTTATAGAAAAGATGGGTGATTCAACAGTTTTCTCACTGCCTTTTACAGGTACTTGAATGCTCCAGTAACGTTTCTGAGGGCTAAAATTTGATTGTCAATTTTCTTTGCCCTCCCAGTAGCATGCCCTTTTCTACTCATTTTGTAAATGCAAATATTTGTAAGTTACTGTGTTTTCTTGGTATAAATTTTGGCAGAAAGAAAGTATCAAAGTCTTGAATGATGAAAAATGCCCCCTCAATTTTAAATTCACTCCAAGTATTCAGCATCAATTGTTTGCACTTTGATGCAACCAGCTAAAAGAAACACCATTATATGACTTATTTGAGCAATTACAACGAATTAATACAGTTCAATAACGACTACCAAAAAAACGATGAAAACTGCTCACAACTTGAGATTTGTGTTTGCTAAATGGGAAATGACTCGCTAATTAAGACAGATGGTTGAGGATAGTGGACAATGGATGCTTTAGGACATCATAATCTACTAGTACACGGTCTACAAGGTGAGAAAGGCTAGATCAGTGGCATTCATTATGTGTGATGCACGAAACGTGACTGCTTTATGCCATAAAATCTATTGGCCATTCCTGCGTCACGCCTTCACTAACACATGCTTTCCTGGGGTATTTTGTGTGTATTGTACACACATACATACAGAAAATAATGATATGGAAGCACTTTCCAGAAATTAGAAAGGAATGTGTTCCCACAAGCCAGACTTGGGGCATTATTCCCTCCTGCTCCGTGCAGGGGTAACACGATTCCCGCTGCTCCTTCCACCAGAAGCCAACAGATCCTGCAGATCCTCTCCCACGCACGCCCCTCCTGCAGGGCTGCAATGAGTCACTCAGATCACCAGCTTCTCAATGCTTAAAGTACTTGTTTCATCCTCTTCATTTGAGCCAAAATACCCAGGGAGGTCGATCATCTGCTGCTCTGCCTCCGTTAAGCCAAAAGTAGTATTATCATAAAAGGCAAACTCAGGGTCCAAGGGGAAGCTCTGGCACTTGTCCCTTCGGTACTGGGCAGGGCTTACACTTAGGGCTCTCTGGGAATTATCTTTGCCAGCCGAACCCGTTTCCTTCCGCCACGCGCCTCTGGAGTTAGGTGAAGGGCCCCTCTTACTTCGGCTGGGCTCAGGCTTATCAGCTGCCTTCTCCTGACTGGCTGGCTCGCGGTCAGTGATCAGGTCCAGCTTCTTCACCGGGGGACCTGCCCTGTGGTGGCACTTTGTGCCATGGCCCTGCGGTTCACAGCCCGGCACAGTGCTGTGGGGCTGATCCAGCTTTTCACAAGTTGGATTAGCATTTCTTGATTTTGGCCGCATCCTGTCCTCTAAACCCTGGTCCCACGTTCTGGTCCTGGAGTTGTAGAGAGGAGTCTGTCGGGGGGTAAGGGTGGACATGCTTCTCTCTCTGAAAGGCCTGGCCTTTTTAGTTTCATGGAAACTGGCTGTTCTTCTAAACTGCGAGTTTCTGTGACAGCCCCTCTCGGACAAGTCCCCTCTGTTATCCTGGTGCTTGAAATGAGCTCTTCTTATCAAGGTTTGGGTAGGGCTCATTGCAGGATTGGTCTGTGAGAACGGAAAATCCAGCCTAGGGTGAGAGCTTTCCCCTGGGAATTTGGGCTGATTTGCTGGCTGTTCCAGAAATGGAGATTTGATCCTAAATTTGTTTGCTGCTGCCTCTTCTTGGTTTTCCCCGCTCAGGGGAAGCATGGTGGTGGCACCAACGACCGTGTCCGTGAGGGGATTCTGAGAGACATGGTACACCTTGGTGGTCTCAGTCAGGCCTTTCTTCTTCATCTCTTTCAGCTGCTGCTGTGCGAGGCGGTAGCTGAAAATCGGAGGGATTATTTTTTGGGCGTTTGGCTGAAAGTTCTCACTTCCAGAGGCATCACCTTCTTGGGCAAATTGGAGGCTTCGCCTGTAGGTCAGAGGAATGTTAACAGGGGCATCCCCTCCTTCTGCGAAGCTGTCCCGCTGCTTGTTGCCTTGGCAAATGTTCTCTTCATCGGAGTTTTTCCGGAAGCCAGGGGAGTGGATGGAGTTTCGGCGGACGGCGGTGCTGCACTTCTGAGCTCTGCAGAGCTTCCTCCAGAGGGTGATGAGAACGGTGGCAAAGATGATGAACAAGCATAGGGAGATACCTGTGATGGTGACTATATTATTTGCTTTCTGGTCCTCTCCTGGCTGGACAGAAGGTGGGGTGGGAGGCTTGATAGCTGTAACAAAGAGCACACACGTCTGTCAGAGTGGCACTGTCATCAGCATTTTGGCACTTTAGGATGGATACTTTCTACAAAGAAAAAATAACCAGTTAATACAGTACAGGAAGTTGTCTGCCATTAAAATTTGTTCATTGTAGATGACTTGCTACTGATCACTTCAAACTGGCAGGAACAGATCTACTTACTTTAAACCAAGGCTGCCATGGACCTTTTAAATGTAATCATTACTTTTGCCTGTTCTGCCATTTCCATAAGGCACTCCTAAATACATGTAAAATGGGATAACAATATTTGCCCTCCTTTATGACGTACATTAAGATCCCCTGGTGAAAAGTGCCGTAAAAGGGGTAAAAATAACCCAACCCGGGCTAATACTTCAGGTATCACTTTAAAATTGTTTTTAAGATAGCTTAAGTGGGTGTGAGAATTGCAGTGAGTTTGAAGAGCAGAGAGGCAGCACTAGCAGGGGCAGTGTAACTTTTCTAAGCAGTCCTCTGAGGGTGCTTCTTCCACCACTGCCCGTCATCACAACCCCAGAGGACAAAACCTTCCCCTCCACAGCAGGCTCCTAACCGAGAAGGCGGCCATTGCTCTGGTGCCCCTGGCATTCTGGTATTGACACCCTTCTGTCGTAGACTGGAGATGGGCCTTCCAATGGGAAAGAATACCCTGCAAACCTGTAATGTGAACATCTCAGAGCTTTCCACAGCCTTATTTAAACCTCTCACCTGCACATTGCACGACATTATAGACAGCTGAACCAATGAGAGATTAATAATTCTTTTTTTGGACGAGGTCTCCAGCATTTCAGTGGCAGCCCTGAGCAGAATACAGCGTGGTTGATGGATGAATTAGTCCAGCAGCTAATTTTAGTATCAGGTAGCACTCACTTCCCAACTTCTTGTGGCCAAATATCAGCTTCATAAGGCCACGAAAATGCTGTTGGAGGACAAGGCTGCTCAGTTGTGGTTGACAAGAGCTGACCATGAAGCTGTGAGCTCGAACTGAACCACTTAACAACCTTCTCCCAGTCTCTAGTTTTATCCAGAACCCAGAGCCTTCCATCGGGGTGATGGACAGTCTGCTGTAAAACTTGCCAGGTGCTCCTGCCTGCACCACAGTGACTCTCCAGCCATAGGAAATGCGTCTGCAGAATAACGAGAAGCAGACACCATGTACTTCCCATAATCCAGAAGAACACTCATCCAACAGTGAGCTGGTAGCACAGCTATTAGGCGTGCAGATTGTACAAATGCACTGATGAACACAGGCCAGAAGGTCTCAG